AAAATATAATTAATAGATATCATTTTTAGGCCACAGTTGGCAACACAAATAATTCATCTTTTTATCTTTTATCTTTTTCTCATCACATCACCTCTCTACTTTTCTGCACATCTTTTCGTAAAAAGACAAAAAATACACTTATTTAAGTCTCCAAACAACCTTTTATTTAATTTCCTAACTCCCACCACTGAACTAACCTTGAGATTGGAGAGATTATATTTAAGAGACATATAATGAATAGAGTAGGGTGGTAGTGAGGGAAAGTGGGGTTGTTTGCCCCATACTATACTTAATTAAGAAAAAATGAGATTTTTAAACGCCCAAGATATTGAGAGTTAATATACAATCTGAATTTTCTAAATTTTTTATTTTTTATTTAAAAAATCTCAGCATTTATTGATTTGGTCAAAATTTCGCTGATCAGCAATTATTAAATTTTTCAATCCACTTGTCTTTTCATATGCCGCATTATTGATTTGGTCAAAATCCCTTTGCATCAGTATTTAGAAATACCCCTCATACAAAACAATTTAGATATAATCCGTGTCATATTACTTTGGCAGCTACTCGTATCAATTCTTCCATCACTTATTACTATGGTTAGTGATAAGATTGTTAAATTATTTTTATAAAAAAATCTTAAAAAACATAATTTATATATTAAAAAAAATCTAAAACAAATATAAATATCTATAATTATCTTGTGCATAGCACGTGTGATAGGCTAGTAGTAATAATTGCTATATGTATATTTACTATTGGACTTGCCTTCTCTTTAGACCACGACTTGAGGCTATTAACAATAAGACTCTCCACGAGTTTTGTTTCTCAATAATTTAAATTGTTTATTTTATCAGTCATTTTGGTTATGTCATCCATAAAAAAAATTAATCAGTCCTATAATCGTAATACCCGGGCTCGGTAAGAGAAGAAAAATTGTAATTTTTGTTTGATAGATAGAATTTGGCAAAATGCCTGAAGTATGCACACGAACAATGATGATCTGCATTTGAAAAGTAAGTAAAAAGATAAAGGAATCTCTTGAGGAAAAATACTTTTAACTCATTCAATTTGCCTTTTTCCTTTTCCTCTTCCTCTTCCTCTTCTTTATTTATTTATTTATTTATTTTAAAACCTCTTCTTTATTTATTTTTTTTTTTAAAACCTCTTCTTTATTTATTTATTCAGTTAAAAATAATAAAAATAAATAAATAAATAAATAAACAAATAAACTATTTAACTTACCAAAATAATACGGTGATGGATTAACGGCCTGAACATCACCTTGCAATATAAATTATGGATCAGGAATCTAGTTCCATTACTATAGAGTACCGTTTTGGCAACGCAGTAAAAAGTTATGTTTTGAGCAACTTCTCAAAAACGTCAACCCTTGCAAAAATGCCACTGATCTCATTTGGAAAGATCTAAAAAAGCCACTTAAAAATTTACCAAACTACCTTCTGGAACATTATAATTAATTAATTCAAAAAATTATTGACATGCAAAAAGTAAAGATATTTTGGTCATTTTAGAGTGATGTGATACTTTTAAAAAATATTAAACCAAAAAGCAAAAATGTCAACTTTTTATCAACTTCCCAAATCACTTCAAAAAAAACCAAAAAACTTAATAAAAAATCAAAACTCAACTTTTTACCAACTTCTCAAAACATCCCAGAATAAACACTCAAACCACAACACTCATAACTATAGATAACAAACACACGATAGACATTTATTAATACAATACAACATTAGGGACCTCGTGATAGATCTCCTCTTATTATCATAGTTGTTGATGTGCTCTGTTTATTTTATTTTTAAATCTTTATTGGTATCACTTATATATAAAAGTGAAAGGTCAACATGTAGAGACATTAATCTGATTCGTGTTCTAATTTTTTACACAATAGGATAGAAAACTTTGACCCGTAAATTTACTAAGAATTCTAAAAAAATGTGTCTTTGTCATGAGAAGGTAATTGATCAAACAAAATAAATAACCCATTAAATAATTCTTTCTCCCCAATCCGTTACTAGTAGACATGCAATAATTATTTTTTGGATACAAACATTTATATTTACATTTTAAATAGTTTGATAATTGAAAGAAATAAAAATAGTAGTTTTGGGCCATTTGATGATGAAGAAATAACATTCTTATAGATCTTATTACTAGTATTGAACGATTTAAAGGAGAAATAATTCCAATAAAAATAATATTATGCAAATAAAAAATATATATATAATTTTTATACATAATGATATAATTCATTGTAAAACTTTTACTTTAAAATAAAATATTTATTTATAATAATAATATTATCACATTATTACGTACTGTCAAATTTTTATATAAATAAAATTCTTCTTTCAATAATATTGTCACACGCTGCTTTGCACCCTCCTTTGATGGTGTGGATGAAATGTGTGACACGCATTGCGCTGAATAATTTACCCAATCGAGGATGAGAAATATTTGAATAAAATTGAGCTTAACTAGGGAAGGTCTTTGACCCTTCTACACATATAACTTTGAATTTGATGATGGATCTTGACCCTTCTTCACTCCGTCGTAGGCATGGTGTATCTCTCAATTATTTCTAGTATAAAATGAATTTGATGGTATACTTTGGTTGTTTCTTAACTACTATTGTGATTGGAACATTTATTGACTTCAGTTTCACAAGTTCATCCATGTCGGTCGCTTTAAAGATGGAATGTGTTGACGTGTTTGATGATGTCCTTCCTTGTATTGAAATTACCTTTTAACCCTCATGCCCCCTGTCAAATTACATTACATCATGCACAAAGCTAATTTTGAATCTAATGCCTCGCTTGGGAAATAATATTTTTAGTTTAAAAGTCAAAAAATTATTAAAAAAATTAAAAAGTTAACAATCTATATAAAAAAGTCAAAGATTTTATTTTCACTTTATTTTTTACATATCTTTTCGTAAAAACTAAAAAGTCATCCCAAATGTGGGGATATATTTTCTAATTACCAACACATGGCATGGTGACGCCGACGTGTCAACCGATGTGCCACGTGTCGTGGTAGTTAGGCCGAGGTGATCTCGGTGTTGCCGAGGTTATCTCCGAAGATATCGGAATCCGAGATAAACGAATAAGGGACAAGAGTCCTAAGACGAAGAGAGGACTTAACCAAGATAATGATAAAGCTCTTAGGGAGTTTATCTTTATCTCTTGAGGAGTCCAAAGTAAGCACAGAATTGGAGTGCATAGAAGTCATACTTCTAGTGGGACTTGGATTGAGTATATTATAAAAGAGAGGCACCCTCGTGGGTCTAAGGTATGCAATTTATGTTTTGAGTATTAAGTTTTGCACTTGATTATCTTTGAGAGATATACTGACTTGATCGTCGGAGTACCCCCGGGTGGAAGAACCACCGCCGGAGCCTTTTCTTTCTGTTTCAGGTTGCTGAAGCCGTCTATTCTGCCTGTGCTCTCCAGTTGATCACTAAGCAGGCAGTGTGGTCAGATTTTCACCCACACAATTTGGCGCCGTCTGTGGGAACAAAGGAAGAATAGATGGCCAGTAACGGACAGCAGGAAAATATTGGGAATGACGCTCTCGCTGGGAGTGGCAGACCAATTAACCTTGACATTGAAGGAGACAACCACAATACAGAAGCCTGTGACCAGGAATAAGTGCATTTATTTGGGTCACATCACCTCTCTATTTTTTGCATATTTTTTTCGTAAAAAGTCAAAAAGTATACTGAAGAAATGTAAGAACCTTTTGAATTATATTTTCTTATTCCAAGATACATCAGAATGTTACTTTACAATCCTATTTATAAACTTGTATGTAAGCTTTTAAGTTGTTACAACAGAACTATAAGACTGAGATGGTAGAAGCTTCGGGAATCTTCTTGGTATAGCTGATATAACAGAATCAGTTGGTGGTGTGGCTGCTATAACAGAATCCGTTGCAGCTTTGGTTATAACAGAATCAGTTGAAGCAGTTGAACTGCTATTCTGCTTCAGTTTAGAGTCTTCAATAAAATGTCATGCTGACTGATATTTGTTGCAATATTTTTATCGTATAATTTTATTGAAGAAGGTTTCATACTTGTGTTTGAAGGGTACATTTCCGAACCTGAGTCGCCAAATCCAAAGCTGCCTACTTCTAGTGAGGAGTTTTATTGCGAAAGCAATACCCTGGTTGCTCAAGGCCTGCTTTTCCCAGGTGGAAATATCGACAACTTGTGGAACAGAAACAAACCTTTTCCAAGGTAATTACCATGGCTATTTTTGTTAATTATGTTATGGATTTTCACAAAACTTGCTAAACTGCTGCTTATATTTTGCAAACCTATTTCCTAACAATTTTTTTTGGTCAGTGAAAAAGAATACTTAGTTGAACCTCCTGAGAAATTAACATGGATAGGCGATTTTGGATTTTTGGCTCAAGAACCTTGGCCTGGTGAGGAATTTTTAGGCTGAGTCACTTGTGTCTTGATTAGGTTTTTTCTAGCTTATATTGTTTTTTATCTAAACCTATCAGCACCTGCTCAAGAACTCTCATGGTCTCCAGGAAATATTTTTGTTGAATTGGAATTGCCACCTGTGCATGAAGACCCTGGCTTGCCTAATCCACAACTACCTGATTCAGGTGAGGAATTTTTTATTGAATTCAAGTGTCTAAACTAGTTATATTCAATATTTTTTTCGCTGATCAAAAAAAAATTGACCAATACATATATTTGTGTCACTCTTTTGCCATAAGATCATGTTTGGTTCACTTATAAATGATGAGGTTGGACTAAATAATGTTGTGCTTGGTAGAACTTTTTTTTTTATACTTGGAATAACTATTTAAGATGATTATAAACCTTATGGCAAAAGGGAGTTTTGATAATTAATATAACTTCGAGTTTATACTCTTCTTTCCAACTTTTAATATTCTGTGAGAATTAACCATTCTTAAACATTTATTTCGGTATATTCTTTGTAAATTCTAGAGAATGATCTTACTTTCAGTATTCTCTTTGAATTAATGGAAGATCAGTACCTTCCTCTTTTACACATTTCTGCTACATCAGTATTGAACTGCATGAGTAGCTCAATAATAAAGTGCAATAAATAGAAGATGCCTTAATTCACCAAGGTTAAATTGGATATGAGTATAGCCATTTTTATCTCCTAAACCGACCACTGCTAATTATGATTAACACTTGAAGGAGGCCTTGAACAGCTACCAGGTGATGGAAAAATCTACAGAACAGAACACACTATCAATTGCAGAACTTCATGATTTCTTAAAAAGTTTGTATCACTCCCACAACTGCACTCTTCTTCTTCTTCTTCTTCTTCATGGCACAATGTATGGAGGCCTATAAATTACTAACAAAGCTCCACTGGAGATATCGCACGCTCTCATCACATTGAGCATTTTGTCAATCATTTGTAAGTTTCTCTCTCCCTGCTTCACTCAAACAATTCATTTTGAATAATTTTCTGTGGTTTTTTGTGTAGTCCTCCAGGCTTCAAGCTTTTGTGAGTGCAAAATGTCATACTGACTGATATTTGATGCTATATTTTTATGGTATAATTTTATTGAAGAAGGTTTCATACTTGTGTTTGAAGGGTACATTTCCAAACCTGAGACACCAAATCCACAGCTGCCTACTTCTAGTGAGGAGGTTTATTGCGAAAACAATACCCTGGTTGCTCAAGGCCTGCCTTTCCCAGGTGGAAATATTGACAACTTCTGGAACAGAAACAGAACTTTTCCAAGGTAATTACCATGGCTATTTTTGTTAATTATGTTATGGATTTTCACAAAACTTGCTAAACTGCTGCTTATATTTTGCAAACCTATTTCCTAACAATTTTTTTTGGTCAGTGAAAAAGAATACTTAGTTGAACCTCCTGAGAAATTAACATGGATAGGCGATTTTGGATTTTTGGCTCAAGAACCTTGGCCTGGTGAGGAATTTTTAGGCTGAGTCACTTGTGTCTTGATTAGGTTTTTTCTAGCTTATATTGTTTTTTATCTAAACCTATCAGCACCTGCTCAAGAACTCTCATGGTCTCCAGGAAATATTTTTGTTGAATTGGAATTGCCACCTGTGCATGAAGACCCTGGCTTGCCTAATCCACAACTACCTGATTCAGGTGAGGAATTTTTTATTGAATTCAAGTGTCTAAACTAGTTATATTCAATATTTTTTTCGCTGATCAAAAAAAAATTGACCAATACATATATTTGTGTCACTCTTTTGCCATAAGATCATGTTTGGTTCACTTATAAATGATGAGGTTGGACTAAATAATGTTGTGCTTGGTAGAACTTTTTTTTTTATACTTGGAATAACTATTTAAGATGATTATAAACCTTATGGCAAAAGGGAGTTTTGATAATTAATATAACTTCGAGTTTATACTCTTCTTTCCAACTTTTAATATTCTGTGAGAATTAACCATTCTTAAACATTTATTTCGGTATATTCTTTGTAAATTCTAGAGAATGATCTTACTTTCAGTATTCTCTTTGAATTAATGGAAGATCAGTACCTTCCTCTTTTACACATTTCTGCTACATCAGTATTGAACTGCATGAGTAGCTCAATAATAAAGTGCAATAAATAGAAGATGCCTTAATTCACCAAGGTTAAATTGGATATGAGTATAGCCATTTTTATCTCCTAAACCGACCACTGCTAATTATGATTAACACTTGAAGGAGGCCTTGAACAGCTACCAGGTGATGGAAAAATCTACAGAACAGAACACACTATCAATTGCAGAACTTCATGATTTCTTAAAAAGTTTGTATCACTCCCACAACTGCACTCTTCTTCTTCTTCTTCTTCTTCATGGCACAATGTATGGAGGCCTATAAATTACTAACAAAGCTCCACTGGAGATATCGCACGCTCTCATCACATTGAGCATTTTGTCAATCATTTGTAAGTTTCTCTCTCCCTGCTTCACTCAAACAATTCATTTTGAATAATTTTCTGTGGTTTTTTGTGTAGTCCTCCAGGCTTCAAGCTTTTGTGAGTGCAAAATGTCATACTGACTGATATTTGATGCTATATTTTTATGGTATAATTTTATTGAAGAAGGTTTCATACTTGTGTTTGAAGGGTACATTTCCAAACCTGAGACACCAAATCCACAGCTGCCTACTTCTAGTGAGGAGGTTTATTGCGAAAACAATACCCTGGTTGCTCAAGGCCTGCCTTTCCCAGGTGGAAATATTGACAACTTCTGGAACAGAAACAGAACTTTTCCAAGGTAATTACCATGGCTATTTTTGTTAATTATGTTATGGATTTTCACAAAACTTGCTAAACTGCTGCTTATATTTTGCAAACCTATTTCCTAACAATTTTTTTTGGTCAGTGAAAAAGAATACTTAGTTGAACCTCCTGAGAAATTAACATGGATAGGCGATTTTGGATTTTTGGCTCAAGAACCTTGGCCTGGTGAGGAATTTTTAGGCTGAGTCACTTGTGTCTTGATTAGGTTTTTTCTAGCTTATATTGTTTTTTATCTAAACCTATCAGCACCTGCTCAAGAACTCTCATGGTCTCCAGGAAATATTTTTGTTGAATTGGAATTGCCACCTGTGCATGAAGACCCTGGCTTGCCTAATCCACAACTACCTGATTCAGGTGAGGAATTTTTTATTGAATTCAAGTGTCTAAACTAGTTATATTCAATATTTTTTTCGCTGATCAAAAAAAAATTGACCAATACATATATTTGTGTCACTCTTTTGCCATAAGATCATGTTTGGTTCACTTATAAATGATGAGGTTGGACTAAATAATGTTGTGCTTGGTAGAACTTTTTTTTTTATACTTGGAATAACTATTTAAGATGATTATAAACCTTATGGCAAAAGGGAGTTTTGATAATTAATATAACTTCGAGTTTATACTCTTCTTTCCAACTTTTAATATTCTGTGAGAATTAACCATTCTTAAACATTTATTTCGGTATATTCTTTGTAAATTCTAGAGAATGATCTTACTTTCAGTATTCTCTTTGAATTAATGGAAGATCAGTACCTTCCTCTTTTACACATTTCTGCTACATCAGTATTGAACTGCATGAGTAGCTCAATAATAAAGTGCAATAAATAGAAGATGCCTTAATTCACCAAGGTTAAATTGGATATGAGTATAGCCATTTTTATCTCCTAAACCGGCCACTGATAATTATGATTAACATTTGAAGGAGGCCTTGAACAGCTACCAGGTGATGGAAAAATATACAGAACAGAACACACTATCAATTGCAGAACTTCATGATTTCTTAAAAAGTTCGTATCAATCCCACAGTTGTAGCTACACCGCACTCTTCTTTTTTACATGGAACAATACACTGAGGTCTATAAACTACTAACAAGGCTCCATATGAGATATTGCACCCTGTCATCGCATTGACCATTTTGTCAATCAATTGTAAGTTTCTCTCTGCTTGCTTCACTCAAACAATTTATTTTGAATAATTTTCTTTGGTTTTTTGTGTAGTCGTTCAGGCTTCAAGCTTTTGTGTGTTGAAAATGTCATGTTGACTGGTACTTGTTGCTATTTTTTTTATTGAAGAGGGTTTTATACTTTGTGTTTGAAGGGTACATTTCCATACCCGGGTTGCCAAATTCCCTGCTACCTAGCTCTAGTGAGGAGTTTTATTTCCAAAACCATGCCCAGGTTGCTCAAGGCCTGTCTTTTGTAGGTGGAATCATGCCTTCGCAAGGTAAAGCAAATTTTCTATGGTATGAAATATGTTTTATTTTAGAAGCATGAACATAACAACCTTATATTGTGAAGTTACTAGATTCCTAATTAATCAGTGTTTTTGTCTTTTCTTTTTGTTTCTTTTTTTGGGAATACATTAGAGATTTTAATAAATTAGTAAGAAGATTTGATGTTGATGAGGTTTCTATTATAATTTTTCAGCTTCGGTGCTTACTCTTGTTGAAACTTCCTACACCTCACCTGATGCCCCACTAATCAACAATGGCAACTCCAATGGAGCTGACCTTGGGCTACCACCGCCGTGCAAAGAGCCAAGTTGTGCTCGAAAGGCAAAGATCAAAGACGACCCTATAACAAGTTCAGCCCTGATGAAACAAACAAACTGATTGAAGGAGTTCAAAAATATGCAAGAATGTATGTTTGATGAAACACAATTTTTAGAGAATACAAGAAACTATTTTAGTACAATTCATGAACAACCATTATTTTTGTTGATTTTTTTTTTTCTTCATTTAATTTGTATCCCAGGTACGGCTGTTGGATAAAAATCAAGAATGAATATTTCAAGAATGATCCCTGTAAAACAAGTATAACGCAGCGGGTAAAAATTATCAGAACATACCTTAGGTGATAGAACCTGAAGCGAGGAATCTTGTGGGTAAATCACGTGCTTTAAAAATGCGAACAACGAACATCCAACAGTGGAGTGATACCACAATATGAGTATCACCCACACAAGTCACAGTGCAAAAAGCTCGATCGTTATTTTAATGGAAGAGAGTCAGTACGGGAAAAAATATACGTTATTTGATTCATCCCATATCCCATATATTGTATCAGATATATAGGCTAAGTATATCATCTATCCATATCAACTGATATGATAGATATAGATATCATGAGTGGATTATCCAAATAGGTTTTGAATTCAAATTCAAACTAACATAGATAAGGTTCAAAAGGGTCATGGATCATGCCACATAGGCACCCAATTTCTAACATCTCTCACTCGCACATGAGTTGGCATGACACTGCCACATCTCTATCTCAATCTCTCCAAAAAATGAACAATCTCATACTAGCCAATACACTGTGCGACTGCTGAGAACACCTGCACGTGAGAGCTCTATACTAGAAACTCAAAAATGAGCCAGCATAGAGACATCAACCCAAAAATAAAAATAATGTCTCATATACCCCAGATCGATCTAATTACACTGGTCCAAAAAAAAACATCTCTAATCCCTCAAAAGAGCATGATTGACCCTCTCAATTCTTGCAATATATTCATACTCAATCCGCCTCTCATACAAAGCGGTGTGAGTTGTTGGCAGTGAATATACAACAGTGGTGTAATACTAGATGATCTTCCCTTTGCCATCATACTATTTAGTTTAGGATTGACCGCTTTCCCAGTGATGTCCCTTAAAGCCGAATCATACATGACCACAGGCAACATACCAAAGTAGTAGAACATCAACCCTTTACCTTATAACATAGTCAAAGGTCACAAAGGGCTACATAAATAAAAGTCATATCAATAATGACATGTAAGACTCACACAGTGAGGAAACAGGGATCCATTCTCTCACCTCATTACTCGGTCGCCAAGCACATATAGTATGAATACATGTTACGGTGGAGTAACTCTTCCAAAAGAGTAACGTCATACTCGATACACTGTACAGATCTTAGTCTAGTCGCTTTCTAGCGCCTAACCCGAATTCTCTATTTGCTCACCTTCCAGGCGCCAAATGAGATTTGGCATCTAGCTAATCATAAAAGGCACAACATGGAAAGTGGGTACTAACATCCATGTTTGGTCCTTAACACGACCTCATCTTAGTTGTAACCAAGGCGACATACATAGTGGATAATTTAAGCCTCTCTTGGCTCCAAATAAAAATAAACCACTAGTCTCATCCTTGCTCGCTCCCAAGCGCCAAGGGCGATTGCTCGTGTGAGTGAGACAATCTTGCCTACTGACATCATCATCTGCTAATCATTATGACACAAACCATAATAGTGTCAACATCCCATCATTTCACAATTAATAAGTGATCGATTTAAAAAACAAGACCACAGTCTGCGCAATTCTAGATTCCAAACATAAGCCTTATCAGCACCTCTTACGATAAGTATATACAACAGAATCAACCATGTGCGCCTCACATGAAGTGATTCAAGATCACTACCTCTTGTGCAATAACCTCTCTAAAGATATTTTGGTGACCAATTTGTGTTCATTCAAGATGCACCCAACTAGCGCATTGAATCTTACAAGGAGCAAATTAATATACTACTAGTAAAGCATTCTATCCATAGTCTAATGAGCAAGGTCAATGTCTAAACAACTCAGTTGACCATTTACCAAAGATAACACTTGTCATGCCGAATACGCCCACATAACGTACTTCAGGTTCCCAAAAAAAAAAAAAAAAAAAAAACAAGGAATATAGGTTATCTGTTTCTCCCAAAGACAATCCGAGGATTCACTCAATAGCTAAGACTTTGGCTTTTACCGATAGGTAAGTTAATGGGTTTGCAATTTTGCATCTAGAATCATTCTAGGATATTTGTCACGACCCCAAACCGCCCCTAGTAGTTTGGTGCCGTGATGGCCAGTAATCCGAGATTACCGAAGGCCAACTTACAAAATCCACACACAATTAGAGTATAGATATAGGGGGCTCACAAGCGCGGAAGCAATAATCTAAAATGCAAGTGGTTCATAAGAGCAGTGCATAAGTCAAATGGAATGGCATACATCTTTACATAGCTTTGAAACTTGGATACAAATACAATGAAGTACAAAAATACATATTATATCTTAACAAAAGGGCTTTACAAGCCGACATGTTCGAAATACATAAGCATCAAAATTGCCGACATAAACATGCATCCAAAACATCTTGCAAAACACACACATCTCGGCGTAGCCGACTTCTTGCTTGTTACCTACATACATACGTAGGGAGGGTGAGCTTGGATACTTAGTGAATGGTACCAGTAATAAAAGGGTTAAATGAATGATACTCGAGATCTTTTCAAAACAGTACATAGTATATCTTGTCAAAACCATACATAACATAGCTTAGTTGGCTTGAAATAAAACATCATTCGAATCTTGGTCTTTCAAAACTTGCTTACTTACTTAACATGCATCAAATCTTAAAACAAGGGGTGATGACATTCCGGGCAAAACAAAAGCATAACCTCGGCATCAAGCACACCCGTTCATAGTCCGTCGGCGGCCGATATCTTAACAAGGGTGCTACTTAGGCTTAACGTCCCCTAGCACGAAAGGACGGTGCTACCTAGGCTTAAAGTCCCCTAGCACGGAAGGACTATGTTACATAGGCTTAACGTCCCCTAACATGAAAGGACGGCGTTACTTAGGCTTAACGTCCCCTAACACGAAAGGACGGTTCCAAGAATGTCATCCAAAACAAAGCTTATACTTGATACATAAAATAGAGATATCATTCATGCTTAACAAATACTTTTATCAAGACAAGGCAAAGCTTTATCAAAACCTTAAGAACATAAATTTATTAAAAATACCACTCACATAGTTCTTGGGACGTCGGGATCAAGGCAAAGGTCCAAGTCCTACAAACACATGGCAAAGTCTACTTAATGCACTTCTCAAAACAAGTCTTACATACATGCAAATGATCTCGGAAAACATGCTGGAAGTCAAATCACAGTTTTACATGTCAGGAAGACATGCTGGGTACCAACCAGGTCTTCGCCGAGGTCCCACACCTTCTGGCCGAGGTGTGGCTACCTAGGCTTCGGCATGCAGCTGCATGCCGAGGTGCGCACAAGACAAACTAAAGGTGTAAGTGATCATGCAAGGTAGGCCAAGGTGAGATACGATGCTTGGCCTAAGTGTGAGGTCTAGGTAAGAGTGATCTCGGCGACTACACTTAGGGAAGTGAGGTCTGGAGATCTGGGTTTCCACCCGTGAAGAACAAGAAGAACATGAACATGAAGATGCTAAATCATAACTCCTTATTTACAAAATCTGGGATTCATGCTATGAGTTCGAAAAACATGGACCTGGGTACCCATACTTGAAAATCATATGAAAACAAACACAAAAACATGAATCTAGCAAGAGCTTTCGGATCAAAACATGAACTTTTCTTGAAGAACACATGAATGCTATTTTTCTCTTCTAAAACTGAACTTCAAAGCAATGCATAGCTTACAAATCATATTCAATCATGCAATGCAATAACATAAACATAAAGAACGACAAGAGCAGATTAATAATCTAACCTTAGAACACGGATCTAACGGTTCGATCTCAAGGAATCAAGCTTGGAAATCCACTCTCCCTCAAAGAACTCTTCTTCCTCTCCTAGAGCCTCTCTCTCCTCTTCAAACAAGATACAACAAATGATAGGTTTCCTCTCTCTATCGGCTGACTTAACACTCAGCTTGGACACGTGGCAACGGCTGGTTGGCTCTCCTAAAAAAGGTGATAGATGACAAGACAAGACTATGACAAAGTGTATCTAACAAGCTACTCGGTAAAGGCACTCCGGCAAGTGATGACATCGGCTAAGGACAAAGCTTTGGCAACTAAGGTGACAATAACTTCGGCTAGGAAAACAACACTTGACTAAGCTGTGCCACACCTTCGGTCTAGGTCATACCACTCCAGGACAAGGTCACTCAGGTGCAAAGGTAACATCTCGGCCTAGATGATACACATCTCGGCCTTGGTGATTCACACCTCGGCCTAGATAATGACATCTCGGCCAATATGCCAGGGCGAAGGTGGAGGTCAAACAAAGAGGTTCCAAGATACTTCTAGACTGAAGATGACCTCGGCTTGGAATGATCTAGGCTTAACATAGCCTAGGCTTGGCATGACCTAGGCTTTAACATAGCAGGAAAGGACAAAGCATGTAAGCAACACTTAGACATAACACATAACCACAAAGCAAGACAAGATTCATGAATGCAAACTTAACAAGACAAAGCTATGTAAATGAACATGAACATGACTACAACATGAATATGGGTTGTTACAGGCAACTTAACATGGCAAAACATATAAATGCATGCAAACATGACTAGGACATAAAATGTGGGTTGTTACAATATTTCTCATGTAAGTCATCAAAGAACAAATCGAGAATTCTTCCAAAATAATCCTAAGGATCGTCTATCCAAGCATATAAATTACATCACCTATGCCCATCAAATCTAAAACAGAGGACGCCCACCCTAGTGGCGACAACCTCATAAATTTCTGGCTCATAATGACTAAGTAAGGAAAAAACTTTTTTTTTTAGACCATTGATCATGCCTTAGTGGTCTTCATCGATCATCGTTGGGCTATCATGGCTCGACGAAATCTAAGACCACTATTTGGATAACTTGTTTTAGGCTGTAAAGATTTATTGGAACTAACAACCTTTTTGCGCTTCTAACTTTTCACCATAAAAGCAGAAGGCAAATCCCTATGGATTTACTTATCCAATTCTCCAATGAGAAGTTGGGTCACAACGTTCCACAAATCAATGTTCCAAACTTATGTCATCATAGCCTAAGTCGAAATAACCTCAC